CCCGGTGTGATTAGACTCTCGTGTGACGACTTGCCCCGGTGTGATTAGACTCTCCTGTGACGACTTGCCCCGGTGTGATTAGACTCTCCTGTGACGACTTGCCCCGGTGTGATTAGACTCTCCTGTGACGACTTGCCCCGGTGTGATTAAACACTCCTGTGACGACTTGCCCCGGTGTGATTAGACTCTCCTGTGACGACTTGCCCCGGTGTGATTAGACTCTCCTGTGACGACTTGCCCCGGTGTGATTAGACTCTCCTGTGACGACTTGCCCCAGTGTGATTAGACTCTCCTGTGACGACTTGCCCCGGTGTGATTAGACTCTCCTGTGACGACTTGCCCCGGTGTGATTAAACACTCCTGTGACGACTTGCCCCGGTGTGATTAAACACTCCTGTGACGACTTGCCCCGGTGTGATTAGACTCTCCTGTGACGACTTGCCCCGGTGTGATTAGACTCTCCTGTGACGACTTGCCCCGGTGTGATTAGACTCTCCTGTGACGACTTGCCCCAGTGTGATTAGACTCTCCTGTGACGACTTGCCCCGGTGTGATTAGACTCTCCTGTGACGACTTGCCCCGGTGTGATTAAACACTCCTGTGACGACTTGCCCCGGTGTGATTAAACACTCCTGTGACGACTTGCCCCGGTGTGATTAGACTCTCCTGTGACGACTTGCCCCGGTGTGATTAGACTCTCGTGTGACGACTTGCCCCGGTGTGATTAGACTCTCGTGTGACGACTTGCCCCGGTGTGATTAGACTCTCCTGTGACGACTTGCCCCGGTGTGATTAGACTCTCCTGTGACGACTTGCCCCGGTGTGATTAGACTCTCCTGTGACGACTTGCCCCGGTGTGATTAGACTCTCCTGTGACGACTTGCCCCGGTGTGATTAAACACTCCTGTGACGACTTGCCCCGGTGTGATTAGACTCTCCTGTGACGACTTGCCCCGGTGTGATTAAACACTCCTGTGACGACTTGCCCCGGTGTGATTAGACTCTCCTGTGACGACTTGCCCCGGTGTGATTAAACACTCCTGTGACGACTTGCCCCGGTGTGATTAGACTCTCCTGTGACGACTTGCCCCGGTGTGATTAGACTCTCCTGTGACGACTTGCCCCGGTGTGATTAAACACTCCTGTGACGACTTGCCCCGGTGTGATTAGACTCTCCTGTGACGACTTGCCCCGGTGTGATTAGACTCTCCTGTGACGACTTGCCCCGGTGTGATTAGACTCTCCTGTGACGACTTGCCCCGGTGTGATTAGACTCTCCTGTGACGACTTGCCCCGGTGTGATTAGACTCTCCTGTGACGACTTGCCCCGGTGTGATTAGACTCTCCTGTGACGACTTGCCCCGGTGTGATTAGACTCTCCTGTGACGACTTGCCCCGGTGTGATTAGACTCTCCTGTGACGACTTGCCCCGGTGTGATTAGACTCTCCTGTGACGACTTGCCCCGGTGTGATTAGACTCTCCTGTGACGACTTGCCCCGGTGTGATTAGACTCTCCTGTGACGACTTGCCCCGGTGTGATTAGACTCTCCTGTGACGACTTGCCCCGGTGTGATTAGAGACTCTGGTGGCGACTTGCCCCGGTGGGACTAACGCTGCTGTCCTCGGTGTGTTTGGGGTGTTCAGATGTTCCTCTCTTCAAGTGGAAGTCCAAGATATTCTGCTTGACCAGTGAAGCCTTCGCTCAAATCCGCCGCCTTTGATTTATGCAGAACAGAATAAACCCTGAGGATTTCGATTCTCTTCCCTTCAGCTGCTCGGCTTTACACAATTATTTCCTATCCAAGTAACAAGAGTTTGCGGCAGTAATTGTCCTGGATCTGTAGATGTTGAGATCTTCAGCTGTGGTTGAACTGAATGCTTTAATTACTCTTCAATTACCTGGTTATTGTGAGCAAGAGTTTTATATTTTCAGAATAATATGAGTATTTCTCATGCTAAACTCAGTGTCATGATGCTACAGTGTATGTTTGGTTTACAGGCTGTTGCTATGCAGTTGCTAGGGTGTTCTGGCTGGTTGCTGAGGTGTTGCTAGGCTGGTATGAGTGATATGTACGTGAGTCCATGTGTGGGAGTGAGTGTGTGTGTTTGAGTGTATAGGAGGAATGTGTGTGTGTGTGTGAGACATGTACAGACAGCGAGGTCAGAAATTCCCTCATTCACTCGGAGTTTCTGCCTCATTATCATTTATAAAATATGCAAATGAGCACCAGAATGAGTTTAGGGTTAGATTTTGATTACATGCTTTAGTTGAATTATACAGTAGTCACACATTTACTGATCTATCTATCTATCTATCTATCTATCTATCTATCTATCTATCTATCTATCTATCTATCTATCTATCTATCTATCTATCTATCTATCTATCTATCTATCTATCTATCTATCTATCTATCTGTCTGTCTGTCTGTCTGTCTGTCTGTCTGTCTGTCTGTCTGTCTGTCTATCTATCTGTCATCTATCTATCTATCTATCTATCTATCTATCTATCTATCTATCTATCTATCTATCTATCTATCTATCTATCTATCTATCTGTCTGTCTGTCTGTCTGTCTGTCTGTCTGTCTGTCTGTCTATCTATCTATCTATCTATCTATCTATCTATCTATCTATCTATCTATCTGTCATCTATCTATCTATCTATCTATCTATCTATCTATCTATCTATCTATCTATCTATCTATCTATCTATCTATCTATCTATCTATCTATCTATCTATCTATCTATCTATCTATCTATCTGTCTGTCTGTCTGTCTGTCTGTCTGTCTGTCTGTCTGTCTATCTATCTATCTATCTATCTATCTATCTATCTATCTATCTATCTGTCATCTATCTATCCATCTATCTATCTATCTATCTATCTATCTATCTATCTATCTATCTATCTATCTATCTATCTATCTATCTATCTATCTATCTGTCATCTATCTATCTATCCATCTATCTATCCATCTATCTATCTATCTATCTATCTATCTATCTATCTATCTATCTATCTATCTATCTATCTATCTATCTATCTATCTATCTATCTATCTATCTATCTATCTATCTATCTATCTATCTATCTATCTATCTATCTATCTATCTATCTGTCATCTATCTATCTATCTATCTATCTATCTATCTATCTATCTATCTATCTATCTATCTATCTATCTATCTATCTATCTATCTATCTATCTATCTATCTATCTATCTATCTGTCTGTCTGTCTGTCTATCTATCTGTCATCTATCTATCTATCTATCTATCTATCTATCTATCTATCTATCTATCTATCTATCTATCTATCTATCTATCTATCTATCTATCTATCTATCTATCTATCTATCTATCTGTCATCTATCTATCTATCTATCTATCTATCTATCTATCTATCTATCTATCTATCTATCTATCTATCTATCTATCTATCTATCTATCTATCTATCCGTTTATATATCTGTCTCACACACACACACAAACACTTGTTAGCACACACACACACAGTCATGAGCTGCAGTGTTTTGGTTGTCTCTGATATCCCAGTCCTTATCGCTGATCCAGAGCAGTAATCGCGTTCTCATCTAACCTGTGTGCCGAACCGCGTCCTGGAAACCCTCGAGTGTTTACTGATGCTCCGATAGCTGGAAGAATAATGCATATTTAAAGAGCCGAGTAAACATATCGAAGCACAACTCATCCATCAGAGTATTTCAAGCAGAAATCCCCAGTGTGTCAGTGAAGTACAGTACACACACACACACACACACACACACACACAGATCATATGAGGATAGCAGGAACTAAACGCATGATCTCAGGCGAATGTGTGTGAAATGTCAGCATGTGTGTTTATATGTTTGTCTTTGGTTTGTGTGTGTGTGTGTGTGTGTGTGGGGGGGGGGGTGTAATATTATGAATCAAATCTAAAAAGGATATTAAAATATTCACAGTTTGATTAGGTGTGTAAATGAATCGTGTAGGTTATTATGTTGGACATTTATTTTAATAATTCTGCTATCCACAGGGTGTTTTGAATTAAACCCCTCTCATGATGAGAATCAATATCATTTATGATCCGAAGCCCATAGATGAAAACATCATTATGAGCCTGATGATCGAACACAGACATCATGAAGAGAGACAGAGAGATCAGGATCAGATGATGGAGTTTGTTCATGATCGTTTGCTCTTGTCTGTCTCTGTTTCTAGCGCACAGCATCTGTTTACACACACTCTCTCTCTCTCTCTCACACACACACACACACACGACTGAGTTTTAATTTTGTCGTTTGACATTTATTTTGTCTAGGAATGTATGAATTTACCAGATTTAAGAAAAACAGCAGTAATTTTTTCTTTTACTCAACTCAAACAGAACCTCCTGACGTTTGGATTTTATTTCTTTAGAAAGTTATACTTGATTTCCAGATGCAATTTTGTCTACATGTAACAATCCCTAAGCAAGTTATAGCCATTTATTGCAACATTATTATAGGCGCTTATCAGTGAAAAACTGGGTTTTTTATCAAAAAAAATATAAAAATACAGGAAGTAAAGTAAATAAAAACATTTTCCTATAATAATAAAACACTGAAGTAAAGTGACTCATACATACTACATAAGTGTATATATCTATATATGGGTTTCTTTGACAAATCAACGCTGATCACAGCTTGATTGCGCAATCACGTTCACCACGCGACGTCAAACGCGAAACCACAGCCGGGAATATCTTCTTTACAAGAAAAGCATTCATATTTAGTTATTTTGAACTTTTTGTCTCTGTCTTTAGGGTTATGTTGAGCATAAAGCGTTGTGTGTGTGCGATCTGGCTGTTTGTGTCGCTCCCTCATGCTAATCCTCTTGTCTGTCAGCTTCTCCCACAGAACATGCCACCATGAACCTGACGCTGAGCGCTAATCCTGGGATATTCCTGACCAACGGCTCCCCGGGGATGCGAGCCTATCCCGTCACGGCGTTTGTACCACATGACCTCCACATCCTCAACAATTCGCTCCTGGTTAATTTAACCGACAGCCACAACGTTAGCGTGACCTATGACCCTCTCGGCGGCCACACCGTCTGGCAGGTCGTGATGATCGTGTTCCTGTGTGGCTCGCTTTCCTTAATCACGATCATCGGGAACATCCTAGTCCTGGTGTCGTTTAAAGTCAACAAGCAGTTGAAAACGGTGAATAACTATTACTTGCTAAGCCTGGCGTTTGCCGACCTCATAATCGGTGTTCTTTCCATGAACCTCTACACCACGTACATCATCATGAACCAATGGGCTCTCGGGAACTGGGCATGTGACCTGTGGCTAGCCGTGGATTACGTAGCGAGTAACGCATCCGTGATGAACCTTCTGGTTATTAGCTTCGACAGGTACTTTTCCGTAACGCGCCCGCTAACCTACCGAGCCAAACGGACCACTAAACGAGCCATGACTATGATCGGACTCGCCTGGTCCATTTCGTTCATCCTGTGGGCGCCGGCGATCCTCTTCTGGCAGTATTTCGTGGGCGAGCGGACAGTCGCGGCGGGCGAATGCTACATTCAGTTTCTCTCGGAGCCGATCACGACTTTCTGCACGGCTATCGCCGCGTTTTACCTTCCCGTCACCATCATAACCATCCTTTACTGGCGAATCTACCGGGAGACGGAGAACCGGTCCAAAGAGCTAGCAGGATTAAAGGCTTCGGGAAACCAAGGGGAAAAAACGGAGAATCGAAGCTACGATCCGAATCCGTCGAGCCGGAAACGATCCAGGAAAACCAAACGTCGTTCGTGGCTCTGGTTTCGTCGTAAACACGGTAGCACCGACACGGATCGCAGCGACAGCTGGAATAACAACGAGACTGCCGTTTCCATCGACCAATCGGATGATGACGAAGACGAAGATGTTGAAGACACACGTCACGTTTATTCAATCGCGCTCGAAAGCCTCCAGCCGACGGACTCGGACGCCAAACCGTCCAGAAAGCAGACTCCGCCGAAAGACCAACCCAACGCCAACGTCAATAAAGATGGCCGACGCTTCCCCTGCAAGGCTAAAGCGCGCAAGAAAGTGTCTCTGGTGAAGGAGAAGAAGGCGGCGCAGACGCTGAGCGCCATCCTGCTAGCGTTCATCATCACCTGGACGCCGTATAACATCATGGTCCTTCTGAACGCGTTCTGTGACGAGTGTATTCCTGCGACGCTGTGGGCTCTGGGTTACTGGCTGTGCTACGTCAACAGTACTGTTAACCCCATGTGTTACGCGCTCTGTAACAAAACCTTCCGCACCACCTTCAGGTCCATCCTCATGTGCCAGTGGAAACACAACAAACCGGTTCAGCAGAGAGCGGCCCCGACCCGTCGCAGACACAGCCCGCAGTGAGGGACACGTGTGGGACTGCAGTGTTCGTGCTGTACAAGCCAAAAAAGGCTTAGTATTTTTGTCTTGTTTCCAGTCCAAATAACTCAAAATTCTTAAAGTCCCCGTGAAATCAAAATTGAACCTATTTACTTTGTTAGCGCATATTACTAGTCTTGTGGTGAACAATTAATCCGTGCAAGTAAATATATATTAAAAAAATGTTTTACCTTGGTAATCTTTAATCAAAATCTGAAAAGTTTCTTTTTCTGATGACGTAGGTTTCACAGTTTGGGTGGGGAAACGCGTAACCACTCCCCTCAAACCGTTAGTTTGCTATGAGCGAGAGATGGAGAGGAGGAGCGCTAGAGTCAAACCCTGCCCTCTGTTCAATATTCCGCTTCACTTGGAAATACGTCACAGCGTTGGAGAAAAATCGTTTGCAACTTCCGGTTCACGGGGACTTTAAATTATGCATATTTATGTAATATAAATCTCAGAATGTGTGAACACAGATTCTCCACAGATCATTTATTATAACTTTGAGCGAAAACACGCTGGTTTTGTGTGTCCCTTTAAATGCAAATGAGTTTCGGTCACTTTTCATGTTTTCTGTGTTGGTAGAAGCTCGGGACCGATTATAGCGCTTGAAGTCAGATTTCCATGATTACCTTAATTTGGATTCCCCCCAAAACAAGACTCATCTAGTTAATGCATCTTGAATTTTTAGATATTTGGACTGTAAACAAGTAAAAAAGTAAGACAATAAGTTTTTGTAGGTGCATAAATGAGTGTTTCTGTCTTGTTATTTTCCTAGCACAAATATAAACATGAAAAGGCATTTTTCTGTTGGACTGACGGTTGACTTTGACGTTGTTTACTGAAGGGCTGTACAGTATTTTTAGTAGTATTTTTGTCTTGTTTCCAGTCCAAATAACTAAATATTCTTAAATCAGCATGCATTTACTAGACGAGTAAATACCATTTGATATTATGTCTTGTTTTCTGGGGAAATCAATAAAAAAACCAAGCAGATAGAGCTAAAGGGATGTACAGTATTAATGTTTATTGGAGCATTGCTGAGGATTTCCTCCTTAAAACTGCAGTGAAGACAGTCTCAAAATCGCTGGTGTTTCTGACGTCACAAACCACCTTGTAACCAATCAGATCAACGTGTGATCGACAACCGGTGGATCTCTGAGCTTGGTGAGTGAGTGGAGGCGGGGCCAATTTACATATTCATAGAACCAAACATAATAAATGAGGTGAGGGTGTCGAATTACATTCAAGATATTTTAAGGCATGAAGACAATTTTTTTTTTTCAAGGAAATGTGATTTTGGTGATCAAAGATGAGTTTTAAAAATATTATTGACTACAGGGGGACTTTAAGAATATTTACAAATTTGAAATGAAAAAAAAAAAGACTACTAGGCCTATAGATTAATTTGTTTTATTATTTATTTATTTTTTGCAGTGAAGCCATCAAACACGGATTGTGTGACTGAAAGAAATATTTTCTGCACCCTGTACATAATTATAAATCTTATTAAATGAAAAGTTTTCTTTATATTGATGCATTTCCTCCTGAAACTAATGGATGGTACATACAAAGGGCTCATCCTTTTTCATATTTACATGCATTTGGCAGACGTTTTTTATCCATTGCATTCATCTATATACATTTACATTCAATAAGTGCTTTCCCTGGGAATCGAACCCATGACCTTGGCATTGCAAGATCTACAGGAAAGTTTGACTTTCTCACCATTATGAGCAAAAAATGTGAGAAAATAATGCAGGGTTGGATAAATGCGTTATCCTTTAGACTGAATGAAGCTATTAACGATCCCGCCCCTGATCTGGTGTGTTTCAGTGGGGTTATGGTGGCTGTGGTGTGATGCTCCATGTTGTGTGGTTTTACTTTCAGCTCTTGAATGTTTTAGTGCTAAAATGACTTGATGTTATGACTGTTTTAAATGCAGAATCAATGAAGTCAAGTGCAAACTGCAAACCTGAAGCACTTGGTTTTGAGTTTGAGAGACTGCAATTGAAAAGTAATTTCCAAAGCAAGAACATTTGCTGTTAAATGTGGAATATTTTTTTTATTCCGAATACATCTTGGCTAGATGCTGTTGTAAAACTTTGAGACGGTTCTCCACACTGTAATTCCTCTGTGTATGTTCACCCCTGAGAGCAGTAATGAGCCAATGAGGAGCGCTGTGGGAAGATGGAGCCAGCAAATCTGCCCACGGATCCTCAAGCGCGCCGCATCCCTCAAATCTAACAGTTTTTCTTATTTTATTTCCTGTTCTACACTCTTAAAAATAACGATTATTAATTGGCATCAATGGTTGAAGAACCTTTAATCTTTGCATTCCACTTCAGTTTTTTTATTTCAGATGATTAAAAATGGTTCTTAAGGACTGATCTCTGAAAGGTTTGCTGGGAACCAAGAATTGTTCTTCTATGGCATTCAATGCAAAAAAAATCCAACCTTTTGGAACTTTTAATAGTTTTTTTTTTTTTTTAAGAGTGTTTGCATGTCAGTGTTAAAACCTTGTTGAGAAGAATAAAGTATGATTGAGGACTAATGCTGAGATGAATGACCAACATGACACAAAACACCAAGCTGTGCGTGTTTAAGTCCTTCTGTATTGTAGTGTGCACTTCATAAATAGAAATATTGTTGAATTTGCGATCATAACCTAGACTAAACGTTCCAAGATTTAATAATATCAAAGTTGTCACACAAAGGGGCTGCATTTAATTACTTTTAATTAATAATGCTTTTTCTTTGCCAATGTGTTCTTGGCAAGAGCTTGTAGAGAAGACTCGGGTCGGTTTTGCCAAAATTCAAACTCAGCGCGCGCTCCCGAGAACCTCTATTTCGTAAACAATGTTCAAGATAATGAGCCATTCTGTACTGTAATGTCAATTATCATGCAAAGAAAAATGATTCATTCAAACTCGGCTGGTGCTTCATTTTTTGTTGTGGGGCAACAAATTATGCCTGATCTAAAGCTGTTCTCGCGATTCTTATTATAATCAATCAAACTTTAATTCATGTAATAATCTTTTATTTTTATCCTGATTATTTATATGGTTTAAGTGGAAGAAATAGCATTTTAGGTATGTTTTGCGACATTGTTAATTGTTTTTTATTTTTATTTATTTTTTTATTACAATCATATCATGTGGTAATTAATTACACCCAAAAATGAAAATTCTGTCAGTAATTCCTCTCCTCCGTGTTGTTCCAACCCTGTAAGACTTTCGTTCATCTTCAGAACACAAATTAAGTATTTTGATTATCTGAGAGCTGGATCACTCCTCCATAGGCTTCTGTGTACTTGAAACTTGCAGGCCCAGAAAGACATCGTTAAAAAAAGTCCAAGTGACTGCAGTGTGTCAACCTTTGTTTGTAAAAAGAAAAATAACGACTTTATTCAACTATTCATTTTCATCGTCGTTTTTTTTTTTTTGCGAACAAAAAGTGAACTGCAGTTTTACATAATTTTTGTCATGTGTTTATTTAGTTATTGAGAGGAAGCACATATTCATCTAACCGTCGCTCTCAAAGGTATTTCTAACTTCTTTTTCCTTCTAAGTGAAGAACGAAAAGTTCTTTGAAAGTATGTCAGGGTTCAGTCTCTCATACGGCACGTGTTCACGGGCACGAGCAGGAGGTGCTGCTGCAGTTCCATTAACGGCCACAGGTATCGCTAATAACACGGGTTTTTCTAAAGCCCCTAAAACAACTTCAAGGCTTTTTTTACATAGCATTTTTTTTTAACCTATTCCTCTTAAAAACAGTGCAAAAACTCCAAGCAGGGGCAGCATCTGCTACAAAACACTAGAAATGTATAATGATCCTGTAACGAATTCCTCTTTTTAACTCTAAAATGTGACATTTTATTATTGTGTCTATGGATATCTGGTCATGAATGTCTGATGAATGGGAGTTTAGTGCCTGTATTTGTCAGATGATGTAGTTTAGCCAACATGGAGCCGTGTTCGATTACAAATAAATACATGATGTTTGGTTGTATTTGAAAGTTGTAGTTTGGTTGTATGGTTGGTTTGAAAACAATATGCACTCGTGAATATGTAAACGTTTCTGAAAATAAACTATGACGGCATTTCATTTAAAATAGGATTCTCACAGTGATTGGAACATCTGCCCTGTTTTCCAGCATGTTTCCTGATCACTAATGATGTTGTATACAGTGTGTAGTTTTTAAAGTCGAGAGATGCAGTATTTTTAGACCTCAGAAGTTCACATGTGGAGCGACACTCCCCTCTAGCGGGCGGAACACACACTGAGAAAGACAGAATAGCCTGTACAGAATGTAATTATAATTTTAATTTATTATTAATTATAACTTAATTATAACTATAACTATAATTATAACTTATTATAATTATAAACTTTGATTATTCCTTTTCTTTATACAGGATGATTGATAGTCTTTATATTGATTACTGTAGCACCATTTATAAACGTCTGTACAAAATTGTATTCGTTTTGTCTATACTGAGATGTTTGATTAATAAAAACAACTGTTTCGATTGTGTTTATATTCTGTGTGAGGTACTAAATATTTTTTCTTTGAACTTGTTTTTCACAGAAGTATTTACACACAACACACACACTTTCTCTCTCTCTCTCTCTCTCTCTCTCTCTCTCTCTCTCTCTCTCTCTCTCACACACACACACACACACACACACACACACACACACACACACACACACACACACACACACACACACACACACACACACACACTTTTTCACTATTTAAATAAAAAACAGTAATTGGGGTGTTGTGTGACAAAATTGTGTGATTTTGTTGTGTGGTTCATTTTAAGTAATTAAAATTTTACTTTTGAAAATTGTACATTTATTTTGAATTAATACAAAATATCGTTTAAAGAAAGTCGCTGATTTTCTGTTAGTCTGGTCAACACATACTGTAATCTGTGGAAGGGAGATGTAAACTCGTTTAATTATACCACATATTTTTCTCTGTCTCAGATCTAATTTTTTTTCTTTCTTTATTTTATTTTATTTTATTATTATTATTATTTATTTATTTTTTGGCTTTTCTTCCTGTGTGTAAAATTTAGATTTCTCTAA